AAACAACAGAACGTGGAACTTATTTAACCAAACATAATTCTCATTCATCAAGGAATAACAAGTGTAATATCCACTAAAGCAAAGCTTAAGTATATAACACCAACAATAAGTTGGCACCTAGAACAGAAATACGGCTGTTTGTAGGTTACCTAAAGGGAACGAGAGGTGGTTACTTTTATAGTCCTAAAGATCAGAGGGTAGTGGTTAGCACCAATGCCCTATTTTTAGAGGATGACTATATGAGTGAGCATAAGTCCAAGAGTGAGATTATTCTCAAAGAGTTGAGGGCAGACAATGGCATACCGGGTGTGTAAGAGGATATACCATAAGAGACTGCACAACATGTTGACTCTGATGTATTTACACCTGAATTGCCTCGTCGTAGTGGGAGGGTTGTTCGTCATCCCGATCATTTCATGTTTGTGGGAGAGTCTTCAGACTTGATCCCAAGTCAAGAGCATGATAGTGATCCCTGGACCTACAATAAGGCAATCCAAGACGTAGATGCAGATTCTTGGCAAAAATCTATAGATTCTGAGATTGAATCTATAGATTCTATGGATGTATACGACCTTAGTAACCTTCCTAAAGGCAAGGAAGCCATTGGGTGCAAATGGGTCTATAGGCGTAAGAAAGGATCTGACGGGAAGGTTATTTCCTTTAAAGCACGGCTGGTTGCGAAGGGTTTCACTCAGAAAGAGGGAATCAATTATGATGAGACGTTCTCACCGGTAGCTATGCTTATGTCGATTCGGATTCTCTTATCCATAGCAAGTCACATGGACTATGAGGTTTGGCAAATGGATGTCAAGACAGCTTTCCTTAACGGAAACTTCGATGAAGACATGTATATGCAGCAACCCGAGGGTAATGTGAAGAAAGGCCAAGAGCATCGAGTATGGAAGCTAAAGAAGTCTCTTTATGGACTAAAACAAGCTTCTAGATCTTAGAATATTCGTTTTGACGAGGTGATCAAGTCCTATTGATTTGATCAATGTCAAGACGAAAGTTGTGTATTGATGGGTCTCTTCCTAGATCTGGAGCGAACCGGTGAAAACGAGCCCGTATCTAGAACGAACCGGTGAGAATGAGCTTAGATCTACTGTCGTAACCTTCAAACCGCTACTGGACCACAAGAAAACCTGCAAGAACTCAACGCCGGAGGGGTTTCCAGCGTAGAGTCTCCGACGCTCAAGTCAGTGAGATGAAGAGAGCTGCTCTGAGAGAGCAGCAGCAGTAATGGAGGAGATTATGGAATGAATGTGAGTTAGGGTTTTGGAGTTACCTCAGCTCCTTTATGTAGAAGCAAGACTTTTACCTGAAGTTCCCAAAATACCCTGGCCGACTTACTGGAAATGTCTGAAATGCCATAGTCGGTTCACCTTCCGTCCCTCTCCTAGTCAGCATTTAGATTCCTTCTTATCCTTGACAGATTTCCGTTGATATGTCGAAGTGTGTCGGACCATCTGGGATCTACAAGCCCCGGGACTCTCACAATCAACTCGGGATACTAACTCGAGTCGACGGCGTCATCTTCAATCGTTAGTAGACCCTGACACGCTTATCCGTCTTTCCGGAGGGGAATCAACATATTCTAGTCGACACGTGGAAGTCGACCAAGAGATGCCTGGACCCTTGACCGGGGATTTTATAGGGAGTCTGCGGAGAGAGTCGACTTTAGCTAAGTCGACTTGGTAAACTTTGAACCATTGATGACATAAACCGTTATACGATAGTATGGCTATATCATCTAGTCCATCCCGAAAATTACTCGAAGCGATTTTGAGCTTAAGAGTAAGTTTTGACGGCTTAATGTTTTGCTTGGCTCTTTTCACATATCCAGTCGCTTGTCATTGCTCTAAGTCACGCCCGCTTGCTATGTGGACTCGCAAAGCGACTTGTCTACCCAACAAATTTCGAATTAATTGGATAAGTTTGAATTTTTTTCAAATTTCAAAATTCAAAAAGAGATCTTGAGCATTAATAAGACATTTTCTCTCTCCACCGCTTCGTATTCCGTGCACCATCTTCTTTGGATCGAGTCGCTGGGCTAATTGGAGGAAATAGGCCAGTTCGTCAGATTACCTAAATAAGAACGGGTCGAATGATATGGTCGAGCAGTACCAGACACCTGCAATGGAGGACAGAGAGCAGACAACAGAGACTAATGAGATCAGAAGTGGTCGACAGATGCGAGTTACTCGAGGAGTTGGTCGAGGGAGGATGGTCGGATAGGGCGTGGTCGTACAGAATTGGTCGAACAGCGGAGCCCACAAGGGAATCTCCAACACGTGAAAGGGAGGACACGCGGCGTTCTAAGAGCGACTCATGGCTATAACGAACTCTGACATTCTCTGACAAATGGGACGCGTTTCCTGACATCAAGGATAGTGGAGGCGCGCGGTTGTACGGACGAGCAAAGGACAGCTGCCCGAACTCGCCCTACTCGCGCGTGTAGAACAGGTAGCTCGCCCTTATAAATAGGGGCGAGAATCCTCACTTTGAACACAATCTCTCATACTCTTACATTTTTACACAAACTATTATTATCCCTCAAGATCTGACTTGAGCGTTGGAGGCTATTCACCGGAAAACACCTCCGGTGTGGGAGTTTCGTGCAGGTTCCGCGTTCAACCGGCAAGGAGAACGAGTTTGAGGCGATTTCCAGCCGGTCAGGGTGCGAGACTTGTATTAGTATCAATCGAAATAAACGAGTTCAAATAACATGACAATATACAATTATTGAAGTTTAATAGATTTTTATTTTCTTAAAATCTTCAGGATTATAATTTTTTTTTAATATATCTTAGTTATCTTCTAATAAATAAAATAATTTTGGGATAAAAAAAATCATTTAGTTGTATTTTGTCAATCATTAATAATTTAAATAATTAAATACGTGTAACATAACATATCTCATTAAATTATATTCTTATATACAAAGTAGGTTAGAATAATGAGAATAAAATATAGATATTGATGTACAGTAAATTGTAAAGCGATTAAAGAAGAACCTTTCATTCTACTTTAGAGTAAAGTAAAATTTAAACTAGCGTAAAAATAAGGACAAAAGATGGTCTAACTAATTATGTTCGAAGATTGAGTCTTTGCTATAATGAGGCGAAACCTGAATGTTCTAAAAGTGTAAATTTTAAACTAGCGTAAAAATAACAAAAGATGGTCTAACTAATTATGTTTCAAGATTGGGTCTTTGCTATAATGAGGTGAAACCTGAATGTTCTAAAAGTCGCTAGGTATCTGCTAGACCAGTGCATAGACAAGGTCTAGAAATCAAAATTAAATTAATTTATTTTCACTACCTATAAAATATAACTATCTCTACTTAAAATAAATCAAACTCGTAAGTCTAAATAATAGTATTAATATATTATAAAGAAAACATAATAACCAAATAATGTAATTAGTATTTAAAGAAATTAAATAAAAAATAAAAAATTGCCACCGAGTCCGCTAGGAGAGTCTAAGTCCACCTAGACGGCGCTAAGCCCGCCTAGAAGCGCCTAGACTCGCCTAAGTGCCACCTTGCCGCCTGACCGATTTTTTCAGCCGATTTATGCAAATCGGAGACGGCCAGGCAATGCCTAAACCGATTTTAAACCGATTTTTAGTACAGAGCGTACCTCAAAACATTTCATGTAAAGATTTTCTTTAAGCATTTTCCGTATTAAAAAACATAAACCACCCGTCACCCGTACGAAGCAAAAGAAACAAACCTCAACCACCATGTAGACTTCAAGAACTCCTGCACTTACTGGAACATGAACTTAGATAACTCACTCAAACATTCATTCAAGATCAAGAAAAAAAAAAATCATTTGAAACATTACACCATTTACAAACAACAACGAGAGAACCAACCCCAAAATGACACTCACTCACACGCGATCTTGGTGTCGAAACTGCTGAGACAAATGGCGAACGCCTGGAAGGCAGAGATCGGGTATCGATAATCCATGGTGAAAACATCTTTCCCTACCTTCCCAAACTGCAAAATCACCCTATCATGCTCTGGACCGGATAGCCCGTTCTCGGGGGATGCAACCAGCTGGAAATTCTTGACAGAGGCCACCGTGACCCGCCCATGGAAATTCAAGCACCAACACTGGAGCTGCTCGTGCCACCGTGGGGACTTGTTTCTCAACACAAGTGAGGTATTACTATTATTATTGTCTGCTTGGCTGTTGGTGAGAGGCCCCGACAGGGACTTGTTGAGATAGATTGATCTCGTGCGAAAGAAGGAGATGGCGGGGGAGGAGTTTACACACGAGACCGGAAGATGGGTCTGTGTCGGGGCTGAGCCACCGGGTTTTATGGCGCCAGCTGGGATTGCATCCATCACACAGTGCATCCTCCTCGGGCCTCTGCACATGAATTATAGGTAAAAAAATAATATTCCGTCTGATTGCATACAAAAAAGAAAAGGAATAAAGAAAAAATATCCCTTTGATTAGTGGTTGAATTTCACAAATTACCCCGAATATAGGGTGGAATTCATAACATGTCTGGATTTGCTTATTGTTTCGCGAAACATACCTTTTTAAGTTCTACAAGGCCTAACAAAACCAATTTGAACTTTTGCTAGATTTCTCAACCCTGAAGCATCATGTCTACTATTCTGAGTTTATTTGTCAACCCAAAATGACATGGATATTATAAAGATCCAGATACCCAATCTATCCATATGGATTATATGAGTTCATTATTATGAATTATGCAAGCTGATCATATTGAAAAAAAAAAAAAAAAAGATATTTATACATGTTTGATAATTGATATATTTATTGATAAGCTAATAAGATATTCAATCATAAATATAGCATAACATAACATAATAATAGATACAACCTGGTTAAACGAGCTAGTTGTATCATGTTAAGTTAACCCTAATTCTTATACCTCTATTTTTTGAGTTATATATATCCTATTTGATCTCGATCTAACTGTCAAACCTATACTGACCCGCATCACGTGTTCTTGGCATGTAAGATTTGTGATTAAATCATCAAATTTTAAATGCATTTCACGTTTCAGGGTCTCCAATTTATACCTTGCTCCAAGCACATTCAACTCATATGAGATGTGAGCCACAGGGTAGTTCCCAGCGTGCACCCTAGATGAAATCTGTTTTGAACCAACCATGCGGGCAGACCAACATTTCGCGATTTTGGCTCCCGAATGGGGAGGAAGAGCATCATACACAATGAATTTTGTCCCCAGAAAATTAGATCTGGTGAAAAAAATTGGGAAAAGAAAAAGATCAGTGCCTCTTGTTCAAACGTTTTACTTTAAACTTAACTACTAAAATCACTAATCACCTTAGTTTTCCTATGTAAGTGTCATTCCCTTTTGACGTGTCATCAGCCTGTAGAGAAATTATGTAGTCAGTACATGTGGGTCGCCTACACTTGCGTGCAGCTAGTAGAAACTTGCCATTGTCTGCAAGAGCTGTCAGCAAATATAACAAAGAATGGTAAATAAGATTGACTTCTAGCATGCTCAGAATTGACATCAGTTGCAAAAGAGCAGAGGAGATAGGTAACACTATGCACCTTGACTTAAACTCAGAAAAAGATAATACGATTGAGTAGAGCGGTTCCTTTTTATAAAACACTGGAGAAGAGATTCTCTTGGGCCAGGCTGCAAAACAGAAAACCTTATGCATGTGAAATATAGAAATTGTGTTTCCAATATATTTTAGTGCCAAACGTAGTAACAAGTTTTAGGTTGAAAACAAAAGCACATATTAACATTCTGCCCATGAATAATGCACTATTATTCTCCCATTTTAATTTAAAATATGTACACATGTAGAACAAACTTTGTTGAGATATAAGAGAAAATGTTTGCATAGAGGATTTTGTTCCATTGTATATATGGCCTAGTTGAAAGTTACATAACAAAAGAACATGTTGATCTAACAAGAAATCCGAACCAGTTCTTTTATCCTTCTCTTTTATCATAAAAATCCTACCAATGACTGATAATTAATTCAATCCAAATGTTTCCTGCTTTGATCCCTTTCAGTAGTAAAAAGGTTTCATCATTCATAAGGGAACAAATCACTACATAGGATTGTTATACTAGTGAACATAGCATTTTAGAACCGTAGGGGACACGACATATGCAAGATAAACATAAGTAAGCTCATATTTCTTTCTTTCTTTCTTTCTTTCCACAAAACCAGCAATACTGAAACACAATACAATCCCGACAAAGAAAGGAAGAAATGATAAATCCTTAAAACCCAGGTAAAGACTTAATCCAAATTCAACAAATTAAAGAAGGAACTTTAACAACCACCCGACTCATAACAAAAGCACTGCACATTATGTTCATCTGAACTCAATATCTGTGGTAACACCGGAGCACCTACGCAATATAATCCCACCGAATAAATATTCGAAATAATGAAACCTAACAAAACAAACAACATGTGATTAACCAAATTAGAACACAACATACACCTAACCAAGACAAACTTCTAACAGAGTAACAAACAAATGCAAGCAAAGTTCAAACAGATTTTCACGATGAACTGCAAAATGAACAAATAAAAATAAAATCTTCAAAGAAAAATATTAAAGAAAGGGAAAAACCTGCTTAATAGATATGGGGAACGTAATCTTCCCAGAAATCTCCGGAGTTTGAACCACCTCCTTCACCACCTCCCTCCAGCTCTTGCAGACACCTGCACACGCCACAACGTGTCTCCTCTCAGGCCAGTTTGATTCCGATTCCTCTAATCTCAACACAACTTCCCTCAATAACTCCGGCGGCAAGCTCGCCCAGCAACAGTAGCCACAGTTCTCATCCACGTCGATTTTTTTATTCTTCCCCATAAAATTCTTCGATTTCTCCGCCGCGACCGAGCTGTCCTGGACCACTCTCCGCGATCGTGATGTCAAACCGAGCTTAATCATGGCCTCGATCGAATTGCGACGAAGCCCTCAATCTCGCGCAACAGAAGGGCCCTCAAACCTTTCTAGCTCAGAAAAAAACTTCAAACGTTAATTTGAGGCTACATAGCCATGATTTTGTCCACAAGAAAAAAATGGGTAATACCCAAAGCCCCCAAAAGAACAGCTCCAATCTGAGATTTGAGAAGGCAAAAACTGGAAATGGGAGAGAGAGAAAATTGGTGATGATGAACAGCAAAAGGAGGTTTTTCGTTCCTTCGTTGTTTATTTATTTATGTAATTTTGGAGATTATATAACAAGTAAGATGAGGAATTTGAGGGGAGATAAGAAATGTTTGGGCATTTTTCAGGTTCGAAAATGAGCAGCACCACCTAAAATTCCCATTATTTTAACTAACACCTATTTATTTTTTTTTTAGAAAAATATTAAGAAGTCAGTACTTAATAATTATTATTGTATAGATGTTTATCATTAGTTCACTTCTACCTACCCATCACCTTATCCACTGTCTAAAAAATGTCCAGATTGTTCATTGTTATATTTAATTATTTAATTGCAAGAATGTTTTTTTTTTTTTTTCGAAACGACTATGAAAAACATAAAACTTTTGTACAACTTGATTAAATTTCAAAATGATATTGCGGGTACAATCTCTATTTATCTCCTCTGATTCTTCTCTTCATTAATTTGGGATTGAGACCTTCAAAGATCGATTTGACGAATCAATCTCCTTCGGGCTTGGTCTTGAATTTCTCTAACATTAATTTGGGGGTTGAATGACTTATTCCCGTATTAAATGTTAGGCTTTGACTTGATTGAAGAAGACTTCTTGGAGGACTCGATTCTTTGATCTTCTTAAAAGAGGGATTTTGAATAACGTTGACTCGGGGGCTTGATAACTTTTTTCGGATCAAACGTTATGTTGCTTGAACTTCTCGATAAACGCGGCTTGATGTCGCTTGCTCGGATTGATTTGAGAGCAGTTGAAGTCGCCTTTTTACTTCTTGGGGAAGAGAAGCCGTCTCCTTTTCTTTTTCTTGGCCTTCTTCTTCATTGAACGGACTTCGGGCGGTTCTTCAAAAACTTCTTCAAATCTTCAAGAGGGTTATTGAGAGCACTTGAATTTGAGACTTTAATCTTTGAAATGTGTTTGATATTTTTTAGGTGTTTGAGGTGTGATTTTTGACCTTGAGGAGAGCCCTATTTATAAGTGCAGCAGAGAGAGTTTTGAAAAAGAAGACATCAATTTGATTGGTCCTTCTTGATTTGATATAATCTCTTTCCTCATCATAAGATTTGATATAATCTCTTTCCTTATCCTAAGATTTGGCTTGGTGGGCAAGAAATAATAACTTTATTAATCAAATATCTTATTTATCATGGATTTATGTCCAAAAATAAATAAAGACATTAATTAATAAAATATTAAAATTTCGATGTCTACAAATGCCCCCTTGAGACTTGTTCACGTACAAAATATCTTGGTAGTGAATAAGTCTCAAAATTTTAAATTTAGTTTGGACATGTAGATAGTTTAAACTCTTATCCAGGAGTTCTTTGACTTGAGTTTGTAGATAGTTTAAACTCGTATCAAGGAGTCTTGATTTGATTTGACAGACAGTTTATACTCGTATCAAGGAGCCTTCAAATTTGTAGATATTTTATGCTCGTGTCAAGGAGCCTTCAAATTTGTAGACATTTTATGCTCATGTCAAGTAGTCTTCAAGTTTGATATGTAGATCTTTTATTCTCATATCAAGGAGATCTTTATATATAGACCTTTTATGCTCGTATCAAGGGGCCTTCGAATTTGTAGACATTTTATGCTCGTGTCAAGGAGATCTTGATATGTAGACATTTTATGCTCGTGCCAAGGAGCCTTCAAGTTTGATATGTAGACCTTTTATTCTCGTGTCAAGGAGATCTTGATATGAAGACATTTTATGCTCGTGTCAAGGAGCCTTCACGTTTGTAGACATTTTATGCTCGTGTCAAGGAGTATTTGAATATGTAGATAGTTTAGGCTCATATGAAGGAGCATATGTAGATAGTTTAAGCTCGTATCAAGGAGTATTTGAATATGTAGATAGTTTAGGCTTATATCAAGGAGCATTTGAATATGTAGATAGTTTAGGCTCATATCAAGGAGCATTG